GGCTGCGCTTCACCGGGAGCCCCTGGGGAAGCGGAGGGGGCTGCCCGCGGGTTCGGGGAACCCGGGCTCTGCGCCCGGGGTGCGTCATGGGGCGTGTGCTCACCCGCTGGGGCGGAGGGGCCTTGGTACCCGCCTTGCTCCTCTCCAAAAACAGACGGAGATGCCGCCTCCTGCTCCGAATTTAAATGAAATTCCAGTTTAAGATACTTGTCCCGCTCACGCGGGACGTTTTTTCAGGCCACCCTCAACCTGGGACCTCACCTTGTCAGAGCTGTGGGCCCTCAGGCCCGGAAGGTGGAGATGCCTCTCGAGTCTGAGATGCCCTTCTGAGACACCACGTCCTCTCAGACACCTCCACGTCTCTGTCACGACACAGCACATCATTTACAGCCCTGTCTCTTGTTCTTTGCAGGCTGACACAGGTGAGATGGAGTCGCTACAACCCCAGTTACTTGGAGCCAGAAGTGGACAAGGAATTGTATCAGAAACCTTTGGAGGAGCTGTCTGAAGAGGAAAAGGAAAAACTGGAGCTTAAGGCTGTTCATCCCATAAAAGCTGCCCCTCCCAGCCTCTCCAGCTCTGTGTTCAGCGACCCCATGATCAGGTCAGAGAAACCATCATCACCTCTGGTGCAGGGAGGTCCCACAGAGCCAGGGAGCTGCACTGGCCTCCTCAGCCTTCCCTTGCTGCTCTGCACTTTGCCTCCTGTGACAGCACAATCCTTTGATTTAAGTTAATTTTCTCCCACAAAGCCAGTCCATTGACTGACAGTAATTAGAGATAATTACAGCAGATTTAGCAGCAGCCAATCTTAACCCCGGGAACAACACAAGGGGAAAGGATTTCTGGGGGTGATAGAATCAGAATTTAAATCAAGATTGCATTTGGCTTTGTGTTCACAGTAAGTTCACCAATATGATGATGAAGAATGGAAATAAAGTGCTGGCCAGAAGCCTCATGGCTCAGGTGAGAACTCCTATGTTTCTTCTCACTAGGATGTTAAATCAATGTAAAATGGAAGGCTGAGATATCAAATCCACTGGAATTAGGAACTACCAGTCCCAACCATATTCCCTGTGCACACACAGCACTCTCACCATGCTCTACCTGATCAGGTGTACATTTTGTACAAAACCTCAGCCCCATTCTGTTCACTGAGCAAGTGGTGTTGGCTTAATGAAGAACACTCTCCACTCAGTGTCTCGGACCTCTTGTAGAACCACAGAATCATTTTAGTTGGAAAAGACTCTTAAGATCACTGTAAAACAGATGCAATTTCATGGAGTGGGATAGTCCATCTGCTCTGCATGTCTCCTTTTCTTCTCTTTGTCCCAAGACTCTAGAGGCCATTAAGAGGAAGCAGCTGGAGAAGTACCACAAAGCTCCAGAAGATGAGAAGGAGACAATTGAGTGCAACCCTTATGTCATTTTCCACCAGGCTCTGAAAAACTGCCAGCCCATCATTGGGCTCAGCAACATCACAAGAGGAGGCAAGACCTACCAGGTGAGAGGAGGTGGGTTGGGAGCACATCTGGTTAGGAGAGAATTAGTTATGGAAGTAGATGAACTGGTCTTCACCCCTTCAGCTCAAGATTTCCTCTCCTTGGAAAAAGAGCCACTTTACACCCTGGATTAAAAAACAGTTCCAGAGAAACTGTCCAAGATCAAGCCCCCAGCCTGGGAGCATGGTAATTCCCCTGTCAGCAGGTTGTCTCTGGACATGAGAGCAATTGTTGTCCAAGGAGACAGAGCTCAGTGATGGGCAGCAAGTCCTGGAACCACCAGCTGCATCATATTGCTTAGGTACAGGCCCCAAAGGCCCAAGGAGAGTCAGTGCAGCAGCAGAAGTCAACTAGATAGAGGGCAACATTCAAACCATGAGCAGAACCTGCCTCCAGGTATGTGCTCTGCAATATTTGAGACCTGGTGGAGGCATGTTTGTCATCCAGTGCAGGGGAGTGGTGACCATCTCCCACTAGCACAAACCAGCCTGGATCCAGTTCCCACATAGGCCAGAAGTTCTCACACAGGCCAGTACCTGCTGGCAGAACCCGGGGCTGATCAGAATGTCCATTTTGGTAGCAATGACCCATTTCTATGGACAGAGGAGAGAAGGGGCACAGCTCAGCTGGTGGGAGCTGCTGCTGCAGAGCAGTGTGCTCCACTGGAGTCACAGCAGGGTGTAATCTGCACGTGTCCAGCTGTCCCTGTGTGAGCCCTGGAGAAGAGCAGGTCACTGCTCTGGCCACGCAGTAACTGTGGCCTTTAAACCTCTCCCAGGTGCCAGTCCCTCTGAAGGACAATCGGAAGCGCTTCCTGGCCATGAAGTGGTTGATCACCGAGTGCCGGGAGAACAAGCCCCGGCGGACAATGATGCCTGAGAAGCTCTCCCAGGAGCTCCTCCAGGCCTTCAACAACGAAGGGCCCATCATCAAGAAGAAGCACACGCTGCACAAGATGGCAGAGGCCAACCGGGCGTACGCCCACTTCCGGTGGTGGTAGGACCCTGTGCGTGGGACATGATGCCACCAGCAGAGCTCCAGGGCCACCTGCCTGGGAGAGGCTGGGGAGAAGAGCAAAAGGTGGCACCTCCCTTCCAGGCAGCTTCTGAACTGAGCCTGGGAAGCTCATCTGATCCCTACAAAGTTAATTCTTTTGTGGTGGTTTGGATGGGGGAGACGGAATCTGAAAGAGTTACTGACCCCTGCCCGGATGTTCTAGTTACTTCATTATCACTTGCCTGTTAAGAGAAGCCTTAGATGTTTTTTTCTTACAGCAATGCTGTACAAAGTCATCTTCCACTTACCTGTTTCCTGGGGACTTGTAAGTCTCTCTGTTCCTGTAACCACTGATGGTTTGGCTGCACACCTCCGCTGGATTGTTTTTATTCTCCACACCATAAGCAGCCTTAGTATGATTGGTACAAAAGGCAATAAAAGGCCCTTGTTGATCTTTGGTTCTGGTCATCATCAGCATTGTCTGCACAGATTTTATGGGCATGTTGACAGAAAAAATAAAACCAGTTTTAATGGGGGAGGTTTCTCAGTTCCAGTCCTTTGTCTCTTGCTTGACTTTCATGCTCTGTCCAACGACCACAGTTGCACAAAGCCCCAGTGACACCCTGCGTTGGGGGAGACAGTGACTGTCACAGCCTTAAGGCTTCAGTCAGGAGCAACTTTTAAGTATTGTTCATAGATCAGCAGCTGCACGGAGAGAAAGCAGGGCACATGTTAGTGGAAAAATTTTATTAGAAAAAAAAATCCTTCAATAGGCTGTTTTATTTCCCTTCTTCCTCTCCTGTTCTGACAAGAAATGTAGTGTAGTTGAAACTCACTAAATTCTGAAAATATGTGACAGTTATTGTATAAAACTTATAAAACCTGTTCCTAGCTGGTTGTGCTCAGGGAGCTGACCTGCTGCAGGCTGCCCTCTGGCAGCTCGTGGTGGCTTGTGACCCATGGGGAAGGCTGTGTTGCATGAAGGTGCAGCCAGTGTGCTGGAAGGAATCTGGGAAAAAAGAGCACTTGATTGAGCTATTGTGAGGCCACCGTGTTTGCTGTGACTTGTCCCAGAAAACCAGGAACAACCTGAGCTGTGAAAGGTTCCCCCTCTGCCTCCCGCAGTGCTGCTGGCTCCAAGGGGAAACAAAAATGCTCCCAAGCATAAATTGTGCTTTCCTTAACACTTGTGTAAAATACTGGTTGGACCTAGAAGCTTCCCTTGCCCAATATTAGACAAAACCAGTGGAAGAACTTGCTGGGGTAAATGTGCCCTGTGCTTCCCACCTCTCCAAACCTCTAAAGCCAGGCCAGCACCAGTTGCAGCCCGACAGTTACGTGCCCAGAGGCTCTAGATGGTATAAACCCTATTTACAGGAAGTGCTAGAAAAACATGAATATGAAAATAAATTCAAACTTGGTATTGAAGCCTGCTGGTGAAAGTGCTGGAGACACCTCTCCACCTCTGCTGTGGACAGGTTAGTCTGTCACTTCACTGTAATAATACTTCTGGGCAGCATCTGTCATCTTCCACTCGGCAGCCCGGAACTCGATGATCTCCAGGAGCAGGAGCTGGGACAGGGAGGTGAGTCCCTCCTGCAGAAGGAAACCATCTCGGAGGAGGGAGAAGAGCTCATCCATCCTCTGGGAGTTCATCTTCTCCAGCTGCTCACCGATGCGGTGGAGCTGCAGGACCAGGCAGTCCACCTGCAGAGGGAAGAGAAGAAGGTGGCTGAGTACAAAGGAATAATGGGGAGGTTCAGCTCCTTTCTGGATGAGCTCATCTCATCAGTCACGTATGGACCAGCACATCCTGTTCTCTCTGTGCTGGATTTCCAACAGGCAACAGTTCTCTGCTGCTCTCAAGTTGTCCTGATGCAGGAGGCAGGAGAAGCTGAATGTCTCTTCTGCCAAAAGGGCTGGAAAAGCACATCCTGAACTCTCCTGTCCCTCAGACAAAATTGCCAGAAAAATGCACATATCATGGATGAAAAAATGTTAATTTTCTACAGGATAGGCACAAGGATGTGGCATAAGGCTGAAGCCAATGTCAGAGCAAGGAGGTGTCTCCAAGAGCAGAGGGAATTATTTGGAGCATGTGCTAAAGCCCTTAGGAAGTCTGGTGACTTGCAGGAAATGGGCACTAACTGGGCCTCTGGAAAAGAGGGGAAAGTCAAGCGGGCTGCAGGGGTGGGAGGGATGTGCTAAGATGTAAAAAAACCCAAAGGGCCCATCCAAGGATGCCTGCATTTTACAGGAACCCCTGGCCCTGAGGGGTGGCTCAGTTGTGCCCCAGGCAGGTTGCTGCACACCAGTATGTGCAAAGCTCCAGAAGAGCCTTCTCCAGCCCTCAGGGGTCTGGCACAGGATCAGTGCTGCAGGCCTGGGCAGGTGGGTGGCAGCTACACAAAGCAGCTCAGCAGATCCCAGGGCCTGAGGGGACACAGCTGCCCTGCACACCTAGGGACACTGCAGCTCTCTGCTACCACCCTCCAGGGCTGTGGTGTCTGCAGGTGAGTGTGACAGCTGCTTTTCCAGATATCTGGCAACCAGGGCTGCTGGAAAAGCAGCTGATTTCTGAGAAAACAGGGAAA